TTGATCCACATCACTACCTATATTATGATTTAATATTGTTAAATGTTGGTTTACATTGTATATGTATGTTTGTTGCTTTGTCTATGTTTACATTTGTGTTTATTTTCCTCCTAGTTGTTTATACAAATAAAATTTAAAAAAAAGACCCTTGTGAGCTGTAATGAATGCTGTAAGTAAGACATATTGTTTTTCTTTGATTTTTGTTGGGGTTTTTTTTTCTGTTTGTTTAGCTGTTGCCAAAATTCCAAATTTTTGTGATTTTTATTTATTTTTATTTTTTGTTCTCTTCTTTTTCAAATATATTTTACTTTTATATATGTATTGTTTGGATATATTATAATTTAGAAATGTATATATTTCAGAAATAAGTAAAGGAATAAGTACTAACAAAATTATCATATACTACTAATGGTTAACGAGGACGGGATAAGGCACCGATATTTTCTGTATCAAACTAACAAATGTTAAAATTATCAATAACATATGATACACCAGAAAAAAAAAAAGAACAAACAACAAAAAAAAAAAGAAAAAAAAAAAGATCTACATGTATTTACACCTACCACAATCGACCGATTTGTGAAAACTTGTCATAATTTAAAACTTTACAAATATCTCGAAGCTCCATACTATAATTTAAGTAAAATCACGTATATAAGATGCATGGAATTCTAAATTATGCACCTACAAACATCTATTAACTTTTAAAGTCCATGGACACAGATATAATCAATTCAGATATACAAACGTTTTTACCTTTTCTAATAAAGAACTCCATTTCTTTTGTTTAGTTTAAACTAGATATCAGCCTGTAATGATTTATTACGCGTAGAATTGCCTCATAAACATCTGACAGAATAAAAACAACAGGAAAATGCAGTTCGAACAAATTCAATGAATTAGCCGTAGAGTTTCTGTCAATGTTAAACCGTACATTATCTATTAACAATTGACTCGGTATGTGACCAAATATGTGATAAGTAAAGTTTCATATTATCAAGATACCATCCATATATATAATGAACGCATTCATGTTCTTTCATTGACGGTCTCATATTGTTGTTCATTCACCCCCTGAGTATTGGTAGCGGTGTAGTCAGCAACATCTCTCGTCACACTAAGGTCGACATAATTAACGCTTGACGCTAACGTAATTTTACTTTTCAGTGTTTGCAATTGTCTGAAAATATAATAAAGCAGATGAAAGCACTATATATTTATCTTTTGTGATTTGGGAAATTTGTTGTTGATGGCATGTCTTTGATAGTTATTATAAAATTTATTCGGTTATAAAACTTGGGCCAATTCAATGCTTTCATACTGTTTAAATACTTTTCCTTTTCTGAATTTTTCATCACATCTCTTTGTATTTATTATACTTAAATATGGTCAAAGAGAAAAATGTTATTAATTATTCATAAAACCAAACATAAAGAATAAAGATCATGCAAATGTAAGAAGATGACGAATGGAGCTAAAACTACAATTAAAAAATAAATATTAACAGATAATGGCAGAGGAAAGGAATAAGAAAAGAAGTGAAAAAAAACATAGACTCCCCAGCCCCACCCATCCAACCCTAATTTTCCCACTTACAATTTTTTTACAACAGATTTATAATCGGAAGAAGCTGCTATATAACAATGTACTACATATTAACTGAACTATATCCTTAAATACCTTTTGTAAAATACAGTTGTACCAGCAAACACGACTGCAACGGTACAACCGATAATAGCAATAACTATTGCCACCAATAATGAAGTAGACGTATCTAAAAATAATGATTTAAATAGTAAAAGCGACTGTCAAGTTGTAACATTTGTATATCTCCAACTAACTGAGAACAACTATATGAAACTTAATTAGATATCTGATTCGTATAAAAGTTTACGATTACTGAGATATAGAAAACATAACTCGAATCAAGTCAGACAATGTTTTTAGAAATGGGGGAAAAGGATTTCAATGGGCATCCAGAACCATAGGTCGACGGAAAACAGACGGTCCCATGGTTTAAGGCAAAGTATACGTAATTGCACGCCTCTAGTGGAATTCAGGATAAAAAAGTGCAAGTCTAGTTAAGCGAGTTATCTCCCGAACTCCAAGAAAAGAAAAATGGTTACACAACCGAGAAATGACTTTGAGTGGTTTATCTTGTATTCAATCAAGGTGCTTGTGCTGTCTCAAAAATTAAAAGAAATGATAGAAAATAGATCTAATAAAAAATATGAGAATCTTATTTTAGTTAAACTGACCCTGTTACCACTGTTACTGTTGCAGACTAGCCGGGGAGGGTAAAATAAGACCTGTTTTTATATCAACAGAAAATGAAAATGCTTCACAGCAAAAATATAAAGCATGTAAATAAATAAATAAATATGACAATTCGGTCTCTATTAGTACCCAAATTGTTGAAATCAAGCCAAAAAATGACCCCAACATATATTTTGTGACAAACCGTAGTTTTATATGAAAAAAATTCAGTAGCATACACTTGTAGGTGATGATTCAAACGATAAAATTTCGGATGTGTGTATTTAGAAAGACGTTGGCATGTTCGGTTTGTATGTCAACACAAACCTGAGTATATGATATATAAATGCGATTAAAAATTTCAGCAAATATTACATGTTTGTTAAAAAGAGAATAGATACCAATGGGATTATCGAACACTAGTGCAACATTTACAAGTCGAAGAACAAAGACAACAAAAAGTCACAGTCTGTCCTCAACACATTACACAGAAATTTGAAATTAAGCACGAACACGAACCCAACTAATCAATTAAATATTCAATGTTTTGATGTGAAAAAAAAGTACATGTTTGATATAAATCAAATCCCATGTCAATAAATTGCAACTTTAATCTCACTGAAAATCTATATCAACAGTCATGAAATATAGCACGGCACACATTAATATAGATTTTTGTATCTCAGAATATCTTGATGTCTTTATCTAATAGCAAAGTTGCCCTCGGAAGCGCGGTTTTCGCGGAAGAGTTTGAAGGTAAGCAGGTTCGACCAAAAAAGGACTGTTCGGAATTAGTGGCATCTTTAGGTGTCAAACCACCAATTCAAAGTCCCTATATATTCAACCTTTTTTTTTTATTTCCACAGCTTTCGGAATATTTGATCTTAAATTTAACTCCATAGATATCAGGTATATCTTGAATTGTACATGTATCACCTTTCTGATGCCAATTTTCAACCAATGTTTAAAGTCTTGTAGTTAAACACGACCATTAGGAAGGCAACTGCTACTAAAAATAACCCTTTGTTTTCTGAAAATCTTTAAATATACAATGAAGCGCATTAATCCTCAATTTTTATTGCAAACTCATGGATAAGTACATTTTTAAAAGTTCAAAATGGTCTGAATATATTTCTCTTTCACCAAAAGTTTCATATCAAAAGCACAATTTTTTGTCAAGGAAAGGCTACTTTTATGTTCAAGATTTGATTGGTTGAATTGGTGGTCTGACAACTCAATACACGGACTTGGTTTCTAGGAATAGATAAGAAAAAATTGTGTAAGGACAAGCACACGATCTCCCTTAGACATTTTTTAAGGGTATTTCGATTTTGTAATTTCTCGAGTTATGAAAAGATGTGATAAAGAAAAAATATATGGCTCCTCGTACTAAATTAATTCTTTCGTATTAATCCCCAACCTCCAGATAATAATTTAAGTACAACTTGTCAAAAACTTTGACATTTGAACACTAAGGCATGAACCATAAAATTCAGGCCAAGTTCGATTTTGATAATTTTGACAGTGACCGTTCCAAAGTTATGTCCCTAAATGATCTAATAAATTTGGAATTTTTCAGTGTGTAGATAATTCAAAATTACCACTACACAATGTTTTCAAGAATTTGACACAATGTCATGACCTTAAAATACAGATCAAAATAAAGATTTAGTCAGTTTCATTGTATGTTATCTTTTTTTTTTATATAAATTAAACCTACTTGTTACTTAGATTAGTAAATATCAAACATTCATGTTTAGTTTAAAGCAATAATGGAATACAAGGAGGAAACATTTCCTTACAAAGAATAGTAAGAGGCAAACGCTGCAAATACATACAATGTAAACAATTGCACTTGGTTATTCCTTTATTTTGGGTACTACTTTATTTCTAAATAAAGGACATCATAACATATGGCTTTCAAAATGATTGACTAAATAGTCCTCAATTTAACTTCAAAACATGAAAACAAATACCAGTAGCGTATATATATTATATTGAATCATATGATGACACGATTGCAATCATTGTGTTTAATCGAAAATCATAATTTAATTCTACCAGTCAGGTACTTTGGAGAAAAGCAATGTTTGGAAAAACATTATCTATTAAAAAAAAGCTCACCTTCATAACAATTCAAACATTACATTTTGCAATTCAGTTTAAACATAAATAACGCTATATGGTCCGTTGTCAAAGTTTAATACTCAATATACATCTTTGTTGTATTTTCAAAGAAAATGTTACATGAAATATATTGTTATTTTTATAGAGAAATGAATATACTCATTAAATGTATATGTTGTATGCTTTCAAATCTATATAAAAAGTAAAATCACAAAAATATTGAACTCCGAGGAGAATTCAAAAAGGAAAGTCTCTAATCAAATGGCAAAATCAAAAGCTCAAACACATCAAACGAATGGATAACAACTGTCATATTCCTGACTTGGTACAGGCATTTTCTTATGTAGAGAATGGTAGATTGAACCTGGTTTTATAGCTATCTAAACCTCTCACTTGTATGACAGTCACATCAAAATCCATTATATTGACAACGATGCGTGAACAAATAAAATATAGTGTACGTAATGGTTAAAGAAAATCTTTGTCCACATTCACAATATATTTCAAACATAAGTTCAGATAAACCTTCAAAATAAAACAAATTTAAAACGAATCAAGGTTAATTTTTTTTTTTTTTTTTCGAAATTTTTCATTTTTTACCATTTATACTGTTATACCTTTGATATTTTCCTTCTCTCTTGCAATAGTTGACTGAGTGTTAGAATTTTTCGCGTGGTTATCGCTGATCGGTTTTGTTACTGTTTCAAATTTTGTTGTAAAAGTGTCCTCTGTAGTAGTTACATGGTCTGTCTGTGTTGTTGATTCTGGACGGTAACACCTAATTTTCAATTCTGTAATTATAAAATAATTAAGGCTCTGTAATTATAAAATAATTAAGGATATTCTCTAAAATATTAATTACTATCCGTTTCATTTAATTTTAACTCACTGTTTGGTGTTCCGGTTATTCCCTTGGTTTTTTAATCTTGTATATATAAGAAATAGGTGTATTTTCAACGTATGCCATAAAAGAACCATTGATATAAAAATAAGGAGATGTGGTATGATTGCCAATGAGACAACTAACTATCCACCAAAGTTCAAATGAAGTAGATGTACTCCAGACTGAAAAAAGCTGACACTTGCATATTATGTTTTTTTATATTTTCATTAATTGTTTCATCGTTTTAAACTTGTTCCATAAAATACTTCAAGATATCAACAAGGAGCAATTACATATATCCAGTACTATGTCTGATATTTAAATAGATATTCCGGAGACATTTGGTGGAGTACTTGAAAAAACATTAATTGCTTTTCCACCATGTAGAACGCCACATGCGGGGTGTTGGCTACGTTTGACATGGGGTGGCGGGTTTGAAGAGGAGAAAACGCGATAAAGGTTAGTAAAAGTATCAAAGTTTCTTTTTTGAGAATTGTAAGCACCAAATAATGTGTTGCACGGAAGAAAACGAATCATTATCTATTTCCAGCAGGCAGAAGCAAACGTTTCCAGTGCTCCGTTTTCTCAAATACCTCTCCCCAGTTTTCACTGTGCAGATTTTGAGACTTCATATGAAAGCCTTCTTGAAGTTTAATTGTCACTTGCAAATATAGATGCCGGTGAGTATTTCTGTGGAGTGAGAAAGCGAATACGTTTTGAAGTAAGTCCCTTTTGCGGCGTGCACGTGTGCTTTGTGAAGAAAATTGGCGAAGAATTTTGATGAAGTTTAGGTGTTAGTGGCTTCCGGCAAATATTATATGGAGGTCTGCTCTGTGATTTTGCTTAATGCTTTGGTGCATTAAGCCATAGCCATGACTTCTTCCTGACCATTATAGTAACTGAACAGGGAAAAACAACTCATGTTCAGGTGTAAAACAAAATACTTTGAGGCTTTTTCTCTATTTCTAACATTAAAAATGTACATAACTTAAAAAACTTAAATATGGGCAAAATGAAATACCTTAAGTTTGTAAGTCATCATAAAAAAGTAGGTGTGTTTGAATTACAAACATACAGATAAAGACCAAAGTATAGGCAAATATATCCTTGTTTTAATAAATGCCCCAACCCCTTGAGATGCAAAATCTGACACCCCGGGCGACACATTACATTTTGATGAAAAATTAACTTTAAAATCAATAAATTTTAACTAAGAAGCTGGCATTTGGTTAAAATCTATGATATGAATTCATTTCTATATAAATCAAACGGGAAAAAAATCGACAAAAGTAGTTTTTCTATCCTGAAACTTGCATATGAAGTCTCAAAATTTGCAACACGGAAAACTTGGGTGAGTTATTTGAGAAAACGAAGCACTGGAAACATTTGCTTCTGCCTCTGGAAATGTTTTATGATTCGGTTCCTTCCGTGCAATACATTATTTGGTGCTAACAATTCTCAAAAAAGAAACTTTGATACTTTTACTTACCTTTATTGCTTCTTCTCCGCTTCAAAACCGCCACCCTGTGTCAAACATAGTCAACACCCCGCATGTGGAGTTCTATACGTTTTTTTCTATGTACAAAATTAACTTGAAAGGGCATCGATCGCAGTTCCCCAGAAAGTATGGTTTACGATGTCATAATATGCTGACTTCTTCAAGCTTAATAATTCTATCATTATTAGCAACATTTGTTTGCACCTTACTAAACATGCTAAATAGTACAACAATAAATTAATTGTGGAAAATTAATACAGTTGTATACTTTAAGTATGGCAATCTTTCACATAAAACTCTTCATTTTTTTCAATACACCACTTTTCTTTGAAATCTTCTTTGTCAAAATATCAATATGGTATGACCAGGTGAAAAAGCAATCAATATACACACCCGGAAGTTTTGCTTCATTAACAGTTTCAAGTGCAATATCACCTATTTCAATACGGATATTTGACATTTCGACAGTTTTTGTTTCGTTCCAATTAACAAACATTGAGTCTTTTCAAATTTATCGTCAGCTGATTACATGTCATTCATTGCAGGGAATTAGGTAATTCTTCTTTCAGAATACTTTAAATGAAATCAATAGATTTATCTAGATGGTTCTCGAATTTGGAGATGTCTAATGGTTAGATAAGAGTTAAATTACCTATCCTCTAATGCGTGATCCAATAATAATTTTTCAACGCATTTTAAAGGAATAACACGACGGGTGTCACATGTGCAGCAGCATCTGCTAACCATTCCGGAGAACATGAGATCACTCCAAGTTTTTGATGGTGCTTGTGTTGCCTAGTCTTTAGTTTTCTATGTTGTATTTTGTATACTGGTTTTTTTCTCGTTTTTTTTTTGCCATGGCGTTGTCAGTTTATTTTCTAATTATGAGTTTGAATGTCCCTTTAGTTTATCTCGCCTCTCTTTTATCAGGTGATGTGTGATCTGCATAAATAGAAAATCATAGTGTACTCAATATTAAGAATCATAATTTTCAAATAAAATGAAAATCAAAGACCCGAGTTTTGAGCCTTGAGGTACACCAATTGTAATACATCTTGACTCAGATAAAATACCATTTCAGCTACTACATTGTTCTCTATTACATAGATAAGATTTGTACCAAATATGAAAAATTACAAATGATTTCAATATATATAGTAAAACATTAAGATAAACAATGTCGAACGCTTTGCTTACATCAATAAATGTTACACCAGTTAATTTACCCTTAATCAATGTATTTAAGCCATCAATCAGTTAAACACATAAGTGTTTTGGCCTAAAACCAGACTTACTGATTGTAATCAAATTATTCAGTTATAAATGTGCATATAAACATTAAAAACATGTCTATCAATTATTTTTCTTACAATAGGTAGTACTGAGACTGGTCTATAGTTGTTTAAAACATGAGCATCTCCAAATTTACAAATAGGACTAACCCTAGCTTTTTCACAGTCATTTCCAACACGTTACAATCGAAATATTCAAAACATATGTCAGTATAGTAACAGTGACATCAGATTTCATTTTTAGCAGTTTAACCGAAATGCTATCTTAACCAAATTCTCCTATAGCAGAATACATACAAGAATTTCTTTTTTGACAAAACTTTGACATTTTTGGGAATAGTAGATGAATCTTTCAGCATAGGTTATTCTACATCAGGTAAAGAATCATCAAAAAGCACCAGCAATTTTATCATTTTGAGTAGCAATTGAGGACTTCACTTCTACGTATGATGTACATGAATTGTTCGACTTAGATGGTCTAAACTGTTTTAAACGAATCCACATGTCTTTATGTTTCAATGTGTCTTGTGCAATGGCTTCATCAACGAAGGTTTTTCTTTGCTTCTTTAATTTTTTATCCAATAATATTACGTGCGTGCTTGTACAATGTCTAATAGTATTCGGAGTTGAATTTAAGAGCTTGAGCGTGCACATAATCCCTCTGGTTCATGTTATCGTTTATCCCTTGATAGCCGTTAATATTTATTCTCCTTTCTTTGAACGTTAAATGTTTATCAACTATCTTCATAAAGCTTCATAAAAATATCTTTAATTCCTCTCACATTTGACTGACATCAGCTATTGATTTGATGGAAAATTGTTTAAATGAAAGACCAACCGTAGGGAGGTCTTTCTTTGGGCAATCCTGACACCCCAAGGTGTGTTATACGACAAGAAAACCCTTAAAGTATGAATTATCTGACTTATATACTGCCAAATCATATTATTGTTTGCAACGATTTCCAGGATATTGCATCCCATTTTACAAATCACATTTTCTCATTCATTTAGATTTAACAACGTCCATCGGCTAAATCAAACTCACTAATCAAGATAAAACCGTTAGTAATTACAGTTTAATCATTTTTTTTTTTCAATTTTACTGTAATTGCATGAAGAATGAATAAAACAGTTGTTTTACTATATGAAAAATACAAGTAACATAGAAAGTAATTTATCATATTAACTTTATAAAAATGGGAGGGTTGTGTTTTTTTTTCTAAAACAATCGTACTTCGAAAAAACATTATTTGTTCAACGATTTAATAAAACTTATTCAGAATAATTGTTTTCTCTTTCTTGCATGGCAATACAGTTATAATTAATTAACTGAGATTTGGGATAGAATATTATATAATTTTATCTCATATAATTATGCGTTTAAGACTTGGTGTTGTAATAAATGGAGTAAAGGAGCAAATGTTTCTTCCTAAAACTTTAAAGGAATATTTAAGATGGGGAATTGTATAGATACACCCCATTTAACAACAACACACGATTACTATCGAATGATATTTAAACAAACTAAAGTTTGCACTATAATCGGGCTAAATAATGACCTCACAGAGGTCACTATTACATGCCGTGAATAGCACATTCATTGAAACTTAGTATCGTCAGGGTTGTTTCTTAAAAATTAAATTACCTATAGTTCTGAAAGGACATAACTCCATATATGTATATAAATAAAAACTCAGTTACGTTGAGTTTACATTAGTCTCTATATTTGATGGTTGTATAATAGAAAAATAAGGATATGGGGTATCCATCCATGATACAAAATCAGTGCATGCACAAGTATGTTCATTTCGGCCGCCTTTTATATTTTTAATGATAATAAAAGTTAGATGGTGAACGCTGAAGCCAAGTGGAATTACACCAGCATCAATGTAGTTGCACTCATTTGTAACATAAATGATATATATGTGTGTGTTTGTATCTTTAGTCAACCGGGTCGGTTTCTCAGCATTAGTATCACCCATTGTCACATTGATCTCTTCTTCTAGTTTTTAAATGTTCTATGCAACTTTTTCTAGTTGTTAAATGTTCTATGCAACTTTTTCTAGTTGTTAAATGTTCTATGCAATTTTAGAATCATCGAACAATTGGACGGTGCTAGCGATGCTTATGGGGTGATACTCGGATCACAGACCATTTGTCTATAATTGAGAGAAGAACTCCCCGCCATGTTGGTTTCTGTCACGTTTTAGTAGCTATATTCTTCAATGTTAATTTCAGTATCATAAATGTTGTCAGCAAGTTTGCTTTCGGTTTTTGCGAATACATCGAAAAATTGTTTTCTGAGAATAATTTTCAGTTGCCTAAAAATCGTACTTTGTATTGTTAAATATCTCTCTGATTGATACAAAAAAATCAAGATGCTTGACTGCTTGATTGACAACATATTTGTTACGTTTGGAGTACGTGTTTTTCAACAAACAATCGGCATTCCCATGGGAACCTCCGGTACCTGTGCTCCTGTTCTTGCCGGCTTGTTCCTGTATTCCTATAAGGCTGACTTCATACAGAAGCTTCTTATGCAGACTGAAAAGAAACTAGCATTATCCTTTAACTTCACGTTTCGCTATATAGATGATGTCCGTCCACTATATAATTCAATGTTTTGTGGCTATGTTGAACGCATCTATCCCATCAAACTTGAAATAAAGGATACAACAGATGCAGTTTAGTCTGCCTCCTATCTTGACTTACTTCTAGAAATTGACAACAAGGGTCGGTTGAGAACAAAACTTAACGACATTCCAGCAGCACCTGCATATGGAGTATGTATCTCCAAGTTGATATTCCAGAGCTTGTATTTTCTATCAAGATTTCCTTGATAGAAGGTTTCTGCTTACAAGGAGCTATTGAACCAAGAGTTCCAAGTGGCGAAGTTAAAATCATCCCTTTTATAATCCTACACAATTTGGTTGACCGTTATGGAATATATGTTTCACAGATGACGACAGATATGTACCAACTGTAAACACAATCCCGTTCTCTTCGAATATATATAGAGTGAGTGCCAGGCTCTGAGCACTTAAATAAACCCTTTCAACAGTTTGCTAGGCTGTCTGTATATGGTCTATGGACAAACAATATTTCTACCCCTATCCAACATACTTTCATTTTCCAGTGCAGGTTCAGAATGACCGTTCGTCATCATGAACCGACCAAAAAGTGTAAAATAAAGTTTAAGTATTTAATATCGTCCTGAATATGCATAAAAAAAAGCTAAAGGACAAATTTGTAAAATACAGTAAAGTAATATAAAGTTCTGTTTCGGAAAAAAAGTTGACGACCGTAAAAATAAGATAAAACTAGAAAGCAAACTGTATGTATCTTTTGGTTATGTACATGTGGCGCTTGATTGTTGTCTTTTAGAAGTATCTTTTTATTCATATTCCACTTATCAGTTAAATGACTAAACTGATCACTATATATATACCTACTTTGAGTGTCGACACAATGCTTCTGTGAATACGTTGCATCATCTCGAGTAAATAGTTTTGTTGTACTGTTGTAAACAAAACAATATTGATTTGAATACTCATAATGAACAGCTACACAAACTTTACTTTGCAGACAATATTGTTTACACTCATCAACAGATGTATGTTGTGTACCATATGTTTCTATCCAATCTCCATCTGAACCTGCTTTTTGTACTTGGTCATTCATTTTGCAGGTTATTATCGCTTGATCTGCAAAAATAAATTGTAAACATTCACAGCGATAGAAACTTACACTTTTAAATTAAAACAATGCCATCGTATGTAAACTATGCAAAACATAAATATTGAAACAATAAAACACTCAACGGTTTATATCGATATGGAACTCTCCTTGATTTCATTTCAATGCATGATCGAAATTGTAAAGATGATGAAACCTAAATTAAAATTTAAATTAATACGGAACGTTCATTACCGTTTTGATTTTTTTTACGCTTCACCTCACTTTGGATGTTTTGTTATGCATAATATATATTTTATCATATTTAGTAACCTAAAATAACTTTTAAAAATGTTTAAATGATGTTTTGTGTTTTGTGATGATATGAAAAGGAAATTTTTCACAGCCTTTCCCAGGATAACTTTCGATTATTATCACTGTTTCATTTCCGTTGGTCTATCATCAGAATGCAAACGATTAAAGAGTAAGAATGGTTATTCTGCCAAGCTACATTACATTCGCTAGATAAACTGAATTAAATAAGCATAGATTTAGTACTTGGACGAGAAATCAGACATTTTATTACTGAATCGTGACTGGCACTGACTGCGAAAAGACAAGTTCAACTCCTAAATCGTAGGAATGGTAAGTTTCTTAGTTTAATTGAAGAATAAGAATCATTTAATGAAAGTGTTATGAACTGGCTGTTTCTGTTTTGGCCCTGTAATAGATTATTGGTCAGCTGTATTGGTTCTCGACACTTCGAATCTCGGGGCAAATACATCTAACCTCGAATGTATAACACGGCCAATACAGAAACAGCTAGTTAATAACACTATAATATAATTCCAATTCAGTTAACCTACTTTTCAAGAAGGCTATTATGTTTCCCTTTATGCACCATACACCAAATTTTCTATGAATTAGAATTAGAACTTTGGAGAACAAATTCATATAAGTCTGTGAAGCGTATAAACTGTTTTCAGTAAGTACCTCCTTTTGGTAAGACACTTCAATATTCCATTTAATACACTCCTGTGCAAAGCCAGATAATTGTAAACATTTGAGGGAAAAAAGAGAGAAAAAAGAGGCGGAAGATACCAAAGGGACATTCAAATTTTCTTAAATCGAAGAGAAACTGACAAAGTCATAGAAAAAAAATCGAAAAAACGACGAAAAAAGAAATACAAACATCTACAAAACACTACAAAGAAAATAAATGATTAAACTACTGCTACCACATGAAACACCGGGTAATCGCAGGTGCTTTGGTAGGGATGAAAGATTCTGCTCTACATGTAGGACCCGTTAAATTGCTTTCTTCTTTGTGAAGCTGTTGTTTTGACACCGGAGAAGAATATGTTCACTTAAAAAGGATTAAAGGTACCTTCGTACCTAAGATCTAAACACTTTAAATTTCATTGACTTTGAAAAAGACAAAGAGGTTAAAATTAGAACCTAAAAAGAATATATCCTTAAATACATTTGATAGATTTGATTAGGCACATCTGTTAAAACAAAATCAAATGCATTTAAGTTGGTGCATTTTATTTGTTTGTAATATAATTAATAACAAAACAAAATTAAGAGGAGGTACCACATCTGTAAATGCATAACCAATAGCTTACTTCTATATATCTGCATACAGTATCCCCTGGTGAAGTCGCCTGCTATTATCCTTGATTTAAGTTTAAGCTCATTGCCTTCTAATGCAATTGACCTCATACTAGTTCCAATTGTACATTGAATCGACTGAAGAGATTGAGTTATATCCGATGTATCTGAATATTCGACGTCGACTGCAAGTCCACAGTTCTGTTGTTCTGGGGCTGAATTACTAAATCCTTCGTATTTAGACATATATATAGTATAATTAGTTACAGTGTTTTGTAGACTAACATGACATATACAGTTGTTGTGTTGTTTCGTTATACGTAATAATACACTGTCAACTGTTTTACCTCCATAAATGCTACTTTCTACTACTGAATCGTCTGTACACATATCTGCTACTGAAAGAAAAAAAATCTATAAATACATTTATTTTTCTTCTATATTAAAATAAAAATAAAAGTATACATTTCTTAGCACACAGTACATTTGAAGGCTCATTACTCACATCTATATTTATTCATATGTTGCTTTACATATAGTATGTTGCTGCATACATACGTCCTTTAAATGATGTTATTCTTTATGGAAACAATTGATGATGGAGTATGAGTTTATTAAGTTCGATTATTGAATAGTACAATTTCAATACTCTTTCTATACTGGTTTGTCCTAAATATAACAGTATACAGAAAAAAGAATTTACACTTCATTTTCCGAAATAATTCTAAATTATGATAAATAAAAGGGTTTTGCCGCATGATGCATCAACATTCTGCAATGGCTTTTCTCTGAGCCGACTTGATAAATGCTAGTTACAGTCACTTTGCATAAGGACGATGATATTCTGTATGTGCCTGCCCTATGTCAGGAGCCTGTTGTTCAGTGGTTGTCTTTGGTTCATGTTTGTCATATTTGTATTTCGTAAATTGTTTTGTTATAAAATATAAATGAGGCCTTTGTGTTTCTCAAATGAATTGTTTCATATCTTTTATGTCCGGGCCTTTTATAAAAAATTGAAAACAACACGTTTAATAATTTTATGCGCCCGAAGCGCTTTTCTGGATTTACCTTCATAAGGAACGCTCAAAGCCAAACATTTGAAATCCGAGGGATGTATAAGTACCGAAACAGTTGAATAGCTATATGACAAAAATACCTAAAACAAATAGCCAAATCCATCTAAGGTCAACTTTGCCAGAGGGAGTTGAAACCTTAGTTTCTTTATAATTTCAAAATTTATAAACGGGCAATTTTAGAAAAGTTTTGTTATAAATCATGTCAGTAACCGAAGTACTGACTACTGAGCTGATGATACCCTCGGGGACTGATAGTCCACCAGTAGAGGTATCGACCCAGTGATGTAAAAAATTGAAAACAACACGTTTAATAATTTCATGCGTCCGAAGCGCTTTTCTGGATTTACCTTCATCAGGAACGCTCAAAGCCAAACATTTGAAATCCGAGGGATGTATAAGTACGGAAACAGTTGAAGAGCTATATGACAAAAATACCTAAAACAAATAGCAAAATCCATCTAAGGTCAACTTTGCCAGAGGGAGTTGAAACCTTAGTTTCTTTATAATTTCAAAATGTATAAACGGGCAATTTTAGAAAAGTCTTGTTATAAATCATGTCAGTACCGATAAGTTTATATATTGGTATAAGTTTACTCATTGTTGCAGGCAGTACGGTTGCCTATAATTGCTTACATCCACTTTATTTTAAGTTGGTGGACAGTTGTATCATTGGCAACTATGCCATAATAAAGGATACAACAGATACAGTTATGTCTGCCAACAATATAGATGATGCCTGCACATAGAGTATATATCTTCCAGTGGATATGATATTCCAAGGCTTTCATTTTCTATCATGATTTCCTTGATAGAGGGTTGCTGCTTACAAGGAAGCTATTAAATGAAGAGTTTCAAATGGTGAATTTGAAATCATCTCTAAGTAAATTTTACGGCCGCCATCACAAGTTGGTTGACCGTTATGGAATATCTGTTTTAGATGAAGACGGAAATGTTCCAATTGTCATAACCACAATCACGTCCTCTTTTCGGTGCCAATCTTGGAGCAAGATCTGCATACCCTTCCGGAACACCATAGATGACCTCCGTTTTTTGGTCGGGTTCGTGTTGCTCAGTGTTTAGTTTTCTATGTTGTGTTTTGTGTACAGTTGATTGTCTTTTGTTCTTTTTTTGTCATGACGTTGTCAGTTTATTTACAACTTGTGGGTTTGAATATATCTTTCGCGTTTCTGGTATACAAATACTGAAATCGGTTGTCAAATTCCCCTGCACAGCCATATCATTTTTTTGTGTGCAGAAATGCTATTTGATAAGCCAAAATATTTGTCAACACGATTTTATTACATCATCTTCGTATATTACCATCTTATATTAGTACAGTTGTGCAAATCTTTAGACTTATGTATATATATATAGTGGTTTTATGTGATGAACGCACTGCAGGCGGTGTTGCCACGATGTCTCAGATGCAGGGATTCAAATCCCGCTGAGTGAAGAACAAAAGTTTGCTTTCGCTTTTTAGGTCTAACATTGTTCGATTAAATTTGAAAAGAATTATAAACATGTGTTAAACAGCAGACATTTGGAATTAAAAACAAATGGTTCAATTTGGAGAAGAAATATCTTCAGTTGAATGCAGTTTATTGGAAAGCTCATTTCTTGTCGACCTCATAATAACTTCAAAAATTTTGATGGATGCAACTCAAATTTCGTCTTTATATTTTTCTGTTCAAATGTTCCCGCCACTAAGACAATATAGTTTCAAAGAAGTTTCACTAGTTTTACTGAAACAATGATAAACAATTCATTCACAAAAACTTTCGTGCGTGCGTCCTGCTAAACAAAGTCTTCAGTGATTTTTTTAATAAAAAAAAAGTAGATCCTAACTCGGAGCCCTCGCGCATGTCAATTGTGAACTAACCCAATATTTTTTTATATCGCGACCAGTCCACTGTAACTAAAAATGTCAGCGATTTCTCATCAAATGAAAAATGTAAAATTTACCTTTATTGTCCACTGTATGAGGACATGGGTTTTCGGGTTGTGCTCCATGCATAACTACAAAATTTGACAGTATGATATATCATGACAAAACATTTCTAAAATTTTAAGCATAACTATGAGTTAGAGTTTTAATTGGCATTCATATATCTGCACCGATTTGTTTAAATGCATAAGCTAAAAGAACTCCCGGCTGATAAGGCTGCTAAAAATATCATTATTGTTTGACGTAAATTTAACATTGAGGTTCTGCAAAAGGAAATCACGAATTCACCAAACATTCAACTGACTCCATTTTCGGAAATGACATCTGTAACAAACATTTACTTTTGACTTTAATTATTTATCCCTTGTAATTTTCTATTAACTGTGTATTTGCATTCAGGTGTCACAGGTCAAATTTATTCGTTCATTGTGTGTTAATTTACGTTTTTTGATTGAGTTAAGTCTTCCAATTGAGTGTGTTTTTCTATGTTGTGATGTAATACTATTGTTTCAGAAAAGGGAGAAGGTTTGGTACCATTAAAATGTTTAATCCCGCTGCAAATGTTTGCACCTGTCCTAAGTCAGGAATCTGATTACAGTAGTTGTCGTCTGTTTATGTAGTTCGAACGTGTTTCTCATTTCTCGTTTTTATATAGATTAGACCGTTGGTGTTTCCGTTTGAATGGTTTACACTAGTAATTTTTTGGGGCCCTTTATAGCTTGCTGTTCGATGTGAGCCAATGCTCCGTGTTGAAGGCCGTACCTTGACCTATAATGGTTTACTTTGATAAATTATAACTTGGATGGAGAGTTGTCTCATTGGCACTCATACCACATCTTCCTATATCTATAAACTTTTAGCTAACTCTTTATGCATTACCAAATACAATGAAAGTTCAAACTATGTACTGGCTTCCGACGCTGCACAAAACACCTTACAGATATAGATTTATTTCGTCTCAAGCCATTGTTCCACTACGCAACTGTCTATTCTACTTACTAGTACACTTGGTACAATCAAAAACCTGGTAATAAATTGTACAAATAAGGCCACTGAAAATAGTGGAAGAAATTACTTTTGGAGTGTCAAAAATTCGTGTATTGGTGATTTTATTTTTATTTTTTTTTATTTTTCTACCCTATACACCACTTTGTCTCATGATTTTATTAAGAAAACTTCACACACCTAGTTAAATGGGCATTTAAAAAGTCAGAATGCCAATATATATGTTCAATTTCTTTTAGGTCATTTTTTAGTAACAACAAACAAAAGAACTATGTCAATTAGACCTGCTTTGATAGGATAACTGCCCTTGAATTTTTACTAGATTAAATATTTGTTCGCTATGAAGATTCTGTATATCGTCAAGTTATTGGAATTCCAATGCGGACCTGTTTTTTGTATTGTTATGAATTACAATTTATGCCTAAACAGCAAAGACCCATCGAAACAACATCTGATACAAATAAAATTTACAAAACACTGTTAGAAATTTGGAATATAATGACGACTTCAGTATGTACACTAAAGAGATTAATGCTGCTGAACTGACTTAACTAAAGCTAATACTAACAATGAACACTTCCCTTTCCTTGGATCTTGATATCTATATCTTTAACGGGAAGCTTAACATCAAAATTTATGATAAAAGAGATGATTTTTTATTTCCTATTGCTAATTATCCAATTTTAGATGGTGACGTTCTTTTGTCACCATCTTATGGTGTTTAGATATCTCAACTTGTTCTTCGATTCGCTCGTGTATGTAAGAACGTATTTGATTTTAACGAAAGAAATCTCAGTATTACTGAAAAGTTATTACAACAGGGCTTTCAATATCACAAACTAGTCAAAACATTTACTAAATTTTATCATCGGTACAAGGACATCATTCCGTTATATAAATCAACATGCTTACATCTTATACGTTCAGTTATTTCACATCCAATCTTTTATGGCAATATTCTATACAAAGCACAAAATGTCGACATTCACCTTAAAAGCTAACCAACCTTTAAAGAGGCTTAGTCAGAAGGGATATAGATACGATAATGTTGTCAGGTCATTAAAGATGGCGTATTTTGGTATTAATATTGATTCACTCATAGGGTCTTTACATCGGAAATAAACACATTTATTCTAAAACCAATTGTTGGCATGATACGGGTTATGTTCTTCTCATATATTTTATGAAGGATGATATGATACTAAACCCCTAACGGGAGGGATTGTGCTTGATTTACATATGATGAATACATAATTTTTCAATCAGTTTAATTAATGTCTGAAGCTGGCATGTCAGTAACTGCTGATAGTCCCTTGTTCATTTATGTATCATTGTCATTTTGCTTAGTTTCATTTGTTACCTATTCTGACATCGGACTCGGACTTCTTTTAACCTGAGTTTTATTGTAAATCAAAAAGTATGCCATCTTTAATGACCTTACACAGTATCGTAACTATATCCTTCTGAATAAGTCTGTTGATAGGTTTGGTTAGCTTTTGAGGTGAATGACGACATCAAAACACCAGAATTGATCTGAGGTCCTATGTTAATCGATCTTGTCTACTAATTACACCGGTTATATTGCTATTGGTAATGTAAAATTTTGCAACCGACTCTCATGGTCTATTTCTAGATGTAAGTCATGATATGAAACGGGGCCTTCTATAGCCGACTATATGGTATGGGTTTTTCTCATTGTTGAAAGCCGTAGAGATGCCTATAATTGCCTGTAGAATCTTTACTTGAACTTCAACGTGGATATTTGTCGCATTGGCAATCATTCCACATCTCCTTTTTATTATATCAATATAATCTGCCGTATCAGTTTTATCAAGTTCGTAAGGATTTCTCGCACAACATTATGTTATAAGGAAAAGAACCCTATCTATAAAGTGTGTAGGAAATGTTGGCCTCTTTTCGTTCTTCCTTAGAAGCATTTGTATGAATAAAGGAAATGTCAATATATGTGACTCTATCCTTAATTTATTATAGTAAAACGGAAATGTATGTATCAACACCATTTGAATTATAAGATGAATATATGAATTGGTAATTTGAGATTTGATGATACAACGACAAATTTAATAATGTTGTCCGTCTTTTGTTTTGTTTTGTTTTTTTTTTTTTGCTTTCTTAATATTTCAGAAAATAAAAGAAATAAATACATTATAAGTTCGATTTTAAATGATAGTTCAACGCGCCAAAGATTTATCGTATATTTTACCAAAATATGTGTCATAGCCCATTTACTGTACATATACCTTAATATAAGAGTTCTCAGAAAGAATAAAAAGATCCTGCTACACATATGGAAACTGTCGTGATGCCCATGTTAGTAAAAAAAAAAACGATGATAAGTCTAAACTATAATAGATATGCATGATTGTTCACATAATAATAATTTGCTAATCCCAAAATCAATATAAAAGCACGGAAAACATATTTTTATCATACTTCAGTTCAAATATAGCATGAAAATTTTAATATATTTACATAATGTTGAAGATTGCTTTCACTTAACAAAATTTTATATAAAATATATAAACATTGTAATATCACCAGAGATACATGACATACATATGAAATAAAGGTCCTTGCACCAACTATGAAAAATAAGTTGTGAACCATGGTGCAAATTTTAGAATTGACAACAGAACTATGAAAAAGATTTACTAAATCATCATCTTACCTTTAAGAACAGCAGGTAATATGATGATCACTAATGTGTAGAAAGAAATCTTAAACTCCATTGTTTATCATTTTTATACTTCATATGATTGCGGAAGTAATGTTCGGAAAATGTAAACCGATGTGTAAACACTAATGGTTCAATGATTCTTTTGACAACTTTTATGCATTTGTGGTTAAGTATAAATAGATAAGCATATTGGGTATATTTTTGCTGAGTGCCTAGAAAATTAACCTAACAATGTTAGAGTAGATCTGATTCTTTACTTCTTCCCCGACCGGGGCTGGAACCTGTACTTTTCACTTCATACTTCTACGACAACACCGCCTAAGCATTGCGCAGACGCCTTATCCCCTCTTCTAACTATAGCTGATACAAAATCAGCTTTCGTTTCCGGAGGTGTTACCTTCTCGTAGGAATTAAACACGGACATCTTAAACGCAATACACAAAGTATTTTTAAGTGTATAAATGGGAGCCATAATGATCCCAAACCTGCAAATGGGAACTTTACTGGTGTCAGCAGAAAACGGACGTCCAGATTTTACATTACAAACATTGATCCTTCCTAAAGTAAGGAAGGCCTTTTGAGCTATGCGAAACCAGGTGGAGTTAATATTACGCACGTCTTACTGTTCAAATCACGTAAAGGAAGAATTTCTGGTAGGATAAACGTTACGATGGAATCAAAAGAATTACTTCAAAACAGTGATTTTTGGCTTAACAACATAATTTGTCGACCTTGGTATAACAATCGTGCATGGAACGATCGGTTTTACCATGCGCATTGAACTGAGACACATCACTATCAAGATGGCTATTAGTTACATTCATGTACATTTTGGATACTTAATAACTACAATCATGCTTCCTCTAGTGACTTGGAGTGTACGCGGTATCATGTCATCAACAGTGTGCTTATCAGAACTTTTTAAGTACTAGTATACGAATTGTGACATTGCCGTATTATCGGAGCACAAGTTATTTAGCCACTCTCTACAATTCCTTAACACAATAGACAATAATTACCACAGTTTAGGTAAAGCGGATACAAATGTTAACATTGAAACCAGTAAATGTGGAAAAGGTGGCGTTGCGATTATGTACAAGAAACCATTGAAGTTCAACATAAAATCAATTAACTGTCCAGTCTCTGAAAGATTACTAGGAATTGAAATACAGTGTAACGAAAACTACTCTATGTTTGTTTTCTCGGTCTTCTTACCCGCAGAAAGTAATATGCAGAAATACAAAATTGAACTGAACATTGTCAAAGATTATGTCAACAACTATTCAAAATTTGGTCCCGTAATTGTAGCCGGTGATTTCAACACTAGGTGCAGAGTAACCGACCTTGAACGAACTAATGTGAACAATTCCATCATATTTTCAGATTTCATATTAAGGAATAACATTGTCCTGGTTAATGCAAGCAGGCTTTGTGATACTTCATCATTCACGTACATTCCAACTCGTACTGTACTGGATTATTTCTTGGTCAGCTAGGAATTAGCTGGTGACATAACGTCTTGTGAAAATATTCCCAAAGGAACATTAAGTCTTACTTCGGATCACCTACCTGTTTTCCTGAAACTGAGTATACCGTATGTTGCCAATTCATCAAATGGTACCAATACTGTTGGCCGTCGTGACGCAAAGCATCGGAAAGTAGTTTTGATGCATACAATGAACTTACAAATAAAATAGCGGTTGAGCTCTTGGACTTGCCATTAAGTAATTTGTCTGATTAAGATACACTAGCTAGCAAACCTATAGATAAATGGAAAGAATGTGCAAATTTAACAATACCGTCGGGTAGCTTTAATCCCAAAACTATTGGTCAGACGAGGTAAAACAAGCACATACAGCTGACCGTTTGGATCGCTGGAAATGGCTTAACCAAGGCAGACCCCGAGGGTGAACTTTTCTTCCTTCGTCGACCAATCAAATTTCGGAAATACTACATCACAACCGACAGTGTAGATCTCCAGAAGGTATTTCCAATGCTTTTACTGACTTTTATGCAGACGTTTATACACCAACCGAAAACGCTAAATTTGACAGTGAATTCAAGGCCTATGTGACTGAATTCGTAGAACGCACACTCGAGTCATGTGCAACAAATAATTGCCTCCTTCCAGGAGGTGAAATAACCATGTATGAAATCGAAACAGTGATTAGAAACCTCAAGCTACAAAAGGCACCAGGAAATGACATGTGAGATACAGTGGAAGTAAACTACATACAGTCATTCTCCGTATTTTTAATGCAGTGATTCGATTCGGTCGTATTCTCTTGTGTTGGAAGCATGGCATATTGATTTCATTGTAAAAAGGTAATGGAAAGTGCAAACAAGCGCCTGAAAACTATCGTCATATATCGCTATTGCCAATACTTTATAAGCTTTTCGAAACTTTATTAGAGAAGCGACTATTAACATGATTAACCTCTTTGAAAAATGATTTGTTCCCAAATTCATACAAAAAGGTTTTCTAAATGGACTTAGCTGTATCACTGCGACCTTCAGCTTCCAAGACACTATATATTACCTTTAGAATTAGGCTGCAAATTGTACGTTGCGTTTTTGGACAGTTCCCTTGCGTTTGGTACGGTGTGGCATAGTGGCCTAACCTCCAAACTGTACCAACTTGGGATAAATAGTAAAGCATTAAAAATGATTTCTGATTGTTATAGTGATATAACAAGTGCCGTTTACGTCAATGAACACGTATCAGTACCCTTCAATGTCCAACAAGGAGTCAGACAAGGTGGTATACTATCGACCCTTCTTTAGTTGGTTTACATTAATGACCTATTAAAAGAATTAGAATTAGTTGGAACTGCAAATATTTCAAATATTCATACAAGCAATCCATCATTTGCAAACGATGTAGTTTGTTTTGGTATTTCACCACAAAGACTCCAAATTCTGTTGCATTGTGCTTACGATTATTCACTTAAATGGAGATTTGAGTTTAATCCTCTAAAATTTGTCATCTTGTGCTACAGAAATCAATTAGAACATGTATTCAATCTAGGTGATACCAGTGTTAACGTTTCAACTGAGACCAAGCACCCTGGGTAATTAAGAACGGTTGACATATCGCCGAGCATAGATATTCAGCATTCATGTAGGAAGGGTCGAAATGATTATTTTGCTATAGCCGGTACTCGATCTTGTTTTTTAAATCCGTTAACTGTGTGTGGCCTCTACAATAAAATCGTTATGGCTGCGGTACTTTACGGATGTGAGCTTTGGAATGGGATAAAACCGAAAGACATAAGGTGTCTTGAAACTTTCCAGCATTTCATTGTTAAACATATTCAATGCTTCCCTAAACGAACACGGTCAGATATGTTTGAATCGATGTACAACCTTGAGAGACTACCTATACTAGTGGAAAAACGGAAATTGATGTTCCTATATAAACTTTGCGAAATGAAGGCCGAATCACTAACCAAACAAATTTTCATTTATACCTATATAAAGACTTTACCAGTTTTTCGGAGATACCTGTAGAAAACAATATGGATTCATCCCAGATGTAATAAACATTTTATCAAAATATTCACTTTTGAATTTTTTTAATAACTATATGTTTACGGGCAGATTCCCAACCAAATTTCAGTGGAAACACATTGTCAATAGTGCTGTTAACCTGAATGAGAGACTTTATAAGGAAGAGCGAATGCGTAGGGACAACGATTTTATAAGATTTCTAAGATTGTCTGAGAACAATGGCTATGATTTCCTGTGGCAATATGCAAAAATTACTTGCAGACTTTTAACCGTGAAACATGTAGCCAAATTCTGGACTACTCCCCCGACTAGCGGAAACTGCAACTTGTGTGGACACTTTGTTCAAGATACACTGAATCATCAAATTATTCTATGCACAGAACTTCAAACACAGAGACTCTTACTATTTAAGAGATGAACAGAATTGACTAGTGACAATTTCGTATACACACTGGTTTCAAAATCAGACGTCAGCATTTCTGGCTTTCTGCTTGGCAATCAGGAAGATCTCTGGGACATTTTAACACCAGAGCATTGTTTGGAAGTCCTTAACGAAGGATTTTCCTTTCTAAAATACTGTAGACTGTAAATACTATTCCATCCAAAATATTAAGTGACATTTCTAATTTTATTATTTCAAAACTTTATAATTTTACATAATATATGAATGTTGTCTTTTGTCAATCTCCTAGATAGGGGGAAATAAAGTATGATGATATATATGTATGTCTGCCTATGTGTAGTGACAACTATAAATTATACCTTGTCCATCGGATTTCTTATGATAAAGAAATACCAGGCGTTAGAATGTGTATAAAGTGCCTAGAAAATCAACCTAAGAATGTTAGAGTAGATCTGATTCTTTACTACAAATACAAATATACACATATTTTATTAGCACAAACTTATCAACAATAAATGGTTAAGGCTCATGGCATATTAATTACATAATAAATCATACATAATAAGTGTTGTAAACAATGACTAAATTAATATGTAATATTATAAACAATGATTATGAATTAAAGACATATTGACAATTCTATAGAGTTTGCTTAGCTTTACGCGGGCTCAAACTGTCTGAAATGAAAGAGGAAGTCAATCTTAGGATTGTATATGATTTTTATTTAATAAAAAGTTTATATTATTTTCATTTTTTTCAAATTTTGTAGGATCATCGATTATATTTGAAACTTTTTAGTAAAATATTGCCCTTTTATTTTTTCAAAATGTAAAAGAAAATATTTTTCATTTTCAATTTGACTAGAATTACACTGTTATGTTCTTGTGTGTGGTTGTGCTGTCACGTAGTGTTTAAGCGATATTTTTTAACATTGTCATAAAGCGGGAGGTTTGGCATGCCTTGAAACCAGGTTCAACCCACTATTTTGTCTTAAAATGTCCTGTACCAAGTCAGGAATATGGCAGTTGTTATCAAATAGTTCGTTTCTATGTGTGTTGGCGTTTGTTTTTGCTGCACTTAGGTGTTCCTGCTGTTCCTTTGTTTTCCTCTTATAGTTGATGTGTTTCCCTCGGTTTTGGTTTGTAACCCGGATTTATTTTCTCTCAATCGATTTGTGACTTTTG